ATGTTGCTTGAATCGCGTCCACCATAGACTTTGTATGTAAACCTGATGCTCCTGATGCTGAAATCGCGTTTGGTGTGAACGCACCATTAGAGAGAGGCTTTTATACCAGAACACAGCCGCTGTGACGACACCGTGGAGAAGACTCTTCACCGTGGAGAGCTGTTAACCAATATGCAAATTAGCCTGCAGTACCACTGCTCTACCCATATGAGCAGCAAAAATACGTTTTTAGACCAAATATTACAGATTTGAACAAACACACACAAAAACATCACAATTAGCAAACAGTACTAAATAACATTTTAGACACATTCTAGACAGTTTATCAACTAAAAATTTTAATTTTGGGGTAAGTTACTCTTTTACTTAATGTGGATGGTGTTGTATCTATTAATGTGGGTTTATTGATCAATCCAACTGCACATCGTTTAGAATGTTCTGTTCAGTTCAGCTTCGGCTCAAACATAACACCGTCATTTAGCTGGTAGTGGTGCTTCCAGTTTCAGCAAATGGATATTTCAAAATAAGAGTCAGATTCAATACAGTCTGAACAAAACATCACAGAGCTGGTATGATGCTGTATGGATGATAGTATGTTGACATTACGCAGGTATCTTCCTTGCAGTTGTTCAAGCGAAAAGTCCACTCTGACATACTGGAAGTCGCTGTCTTCCTGCATTACAGGATGCCACGGCTATAGTATAGTTAATGCTTCTGAAATACTTGAATTACGTCCTGTATGTACACAAAGAGTACACACTTCCTCCAGTTTCAACCCTGGGTCCAGTGGTGGAGAAAGTACTCAAACACTGTACTTAGGTAAAAGTACAAATAAACAGACAAAAATGTACTCTAGTAAAAGTAAAAGTACTACATCAACATTTTTACTTGAGTAAAAATAAGTAAGTACTTGCTTTTAAAAATACATAAGTATTAAAAGTAAAAGTACTTGCTTAATGTATTTCCTAATGGTCTACAATATTATGAAGTGTGTCTATGTATATTTTTAATACATCAATGGTGTGTGATTTTAGTGAACAATGCTGCAGTTTGTGTTGACCCTCTGTGACACTGTTCACACTGATTCTATGCATCATCACAGATTGTGACAACAGAAGCTGTAAATTTGCCACCATCGTTCTTTATCAAATCTCAACAAGTCATTTTTTGAACCAGTTAACTTGAATAAATAAGGCCATGAGTGGTACATTTCCTCTTTTGTAGAATCCATTGTGGGCATGCTGCTGCTGCTGCTGCTGCTGCTCCAGGTGATGCAGAATCGCTCCGCATTTTTTTTCTTTTTGAAGGAGGGTCTAATGGTACTTTCCTGCTTTGCACTGCTTCAGTGGACCTATTAGAGAAATTCCCCTCTCGCCACTCATTACTTTCAAACTAAACAAACAAAAAAAAAAACGAACAAAACAAAAAAAGCAATGCGACATGACATGAATGTAATTTGTAATTCAACACATTACAGAAATGTACTGTAGTGGAGTAGAAAGTACAGATACTTAATGTAAAATGTAGTGGAGTAGAAAGTACAGATACTTAATGTAAAATGTAGTGGAGTAGAAAGTACAGATACTTAATGTAAAATGTAGTGGAGTAAAAGTAAAAAGTACCCATGATGAAATTCACTTAAGTAAAGTACAGATACATGAAAAATGTACAGCAACAAAGTACTTGTACTTAGTTACATCCCACCACTGCCTGGGTCACAACTTTAACTCTGGTGGATTAAAATTATACAACTTGTTCTGGGCACCAGTGCGTTCGGCATTACACACATATGCTACGTTCACACATTGGATGCGTTTTGAGCAGCAAAAAAGCGCCCAACGCCTCCAGCTGGACGCACTATGTTCAGACCGGGACACTGAGCAGACGCGCATCTGCAGAGGGAAGAGCGTCTTGGTTTTTTCCAGTCTGTCCTCGGCGGATGAAATAAAGATAAAATAAACAAAATGGCTTTGATTTTTTTTTTTTTTTACTAAAGAGTAAGCGAATGTTGCACACAGCAGATAATTAATTCACCAGAGGATTTAGAGGCGATTTGTTTGGTTAGTTTCGTCACTCCAGAAGCTGCAAGCTGACTGCCCTTTTTTTTTGTCCCGAGCAGCTGACCTAATTTTTGTACTGATGTATCCTGCCAGAAAATTCAACTGCAGATGTTCGATTTCAGCTAAAGAGCTCCTGTCCGTTTCGGTTTAGTGGGCAACATTCAGGAAACTGTCACGTGGAAAAATTAGCCTCTATGATTGGTTGTCAAGACGCGTCGAGCGGCGGAAGTTCAGATTTTTGAGTGCTTTCAACGCACCTCATGCATGCGCATTCCTTGCACGCTGCACCAAATGTACGGAGGTACACTTCGCTGCAGCATGCAGAATGGGGCGGTGACAGACCTTTCCGTCAGTCCCATACCTTATATGGAAATGGGACTATTGCATTCCGGAAATGAAGGTTGCTCCTTAAAGACGCGGGATTAAGAGAGCAAAGGAAGAAGAAAGGAAGAAGTTAGAGAGTTTCTTCTACTCACGTTGAAGTACTCAGAGCATTATTTATTAATTTCTTTTATCCATCTCCCCAAACACAGACCCTCAGGTTAACCGGTTAAC